ACGTTTTCACTAGGTGGATAGAATGCGTCCCAGTGCGTAAGGCCAATGCTAAGACAATTAAAAAGGAAATTAACCATCGTATTTTCTTACGTTTCGGGATTCCGGAACGATTCCTGTCTGACAACGGCACGCCTTTTAAAAACACGATGGTTGATTCGTTTTTGGAGGCTCATGTAGTTGTCCATGGGACCTGCGCTCCGTATACACCGAAATCAAACCCGACGGAGCGGGTCAATCGCACGGTCAAGACCATGATTGCCGCATTCATCGAGAATCACACTCGATGGGATGAGTTGATCGACGAGCACGCGTTTGCTTATAACACGGCCATCCATGAAGCTACTCGCTCTAGCCCGGCTTGTCTTAACTACGGGCGACACCCATAGCCGCCAAGTAATGCTCGACGCACGGAGGAGCGCACGGCTGTCGAACAGCTCGAGGCTGTCGCTCGAGCCGACTGGCACTCCCGCATGAGCAAACTCGACAATTTTCGAGCAAACGCGCTCGAAAACTCTAAGACTGCTCAAGCCAGGCAGGAGAAGTACTATAACCAGAAACACCGCGACATCGATTATGGTGTGGGCGATAAAGTATGGGCGAGAAATCGCGTGCTCTCCTCCGCGGCCAAGGCCATAGCTGCTAAGCTTTGTCCTAAATACGCAGGGCCCTTTGTTGTAACGACTCGCCTCGGCATGAACTCGTATCAACTCCAAACGGAAAATGGGGGTGATATCGGAAAAGTGGCCGTATGCGACTTAAAACCTTGCTTCGATGACGAGCAGTTTTCTATAGATGAGATAGTGGACGGAGGAGACGCCTCTGAAAGCGAAACCGAAAAGTTCTTGGGTGACCAGGCCGCTGGGCAGTCTAACGCTCATGAAGCAGTGGTGGCTTTACCTTCTCCAACGGCTAACAACTCGGTTCAGCCTAATAAGAGCCAGGCCTTGCCAGATCCGATAGTGGCTGTTCCGCGCAAGCGAGGACGGCCACTTGGCTCGAAAAAGACAGTACCGCCACCTGTCGCGGCTTCGCCCTGACGCTTACGTGCGAGAAACAAGCGCGACGCTTAAGCTTTGTTTTTTTTTTGCCGCTCCCGGCTACTCCTACTTCTGCCTTTAACCCTTCTCACAGCCTATGCTTCCTGCTGCTTATGCCCGCTTGAGCTTGCCGCTAATTTCTTCTTCTATGCCCCATATCACTCCATCATTCCAACGCTTTACAGAGAATGTGGCCTGCTAAGAGAGATCAGGAGAAAGTCACCCTTACCCTGGAGGGACCGATGGAAGTGATGCTGAGGCTCCAGAACTGGGTTGCCCAGCAACTCTTGTCGTTGGGCGATCCCCAAGACGTTCCCGCACCCGGAGCTCCCGACATCAGCGACCTCCTGCAGTGCTGGACACACAGGCAAGGCCAACTTGAGGATAACAACGCTCCCGTAGCAGTCCCGGTCGGAGGGCGTATGCTGACGGGCGGCTCCGCTTCCTCCTCGACTCCAGAGGCACTGGCCCAGGGAGTCCAGGACATAGAAGGCATCAGTTGGTCGGACTGCTGGGCCGCCGTGGAGGCTGCCGCACGTAGCGCCCGCCGAGCAAGACTGGCTGCCGAGCAGGCCGAGTGCCTGGCGTTTCAGGACGTTCTGAACTTTACAGAACATCCTGACGCACGCGTCAGAGCCTGCGCCTCCTCGGATTTCGTCAGGAAGGTCGAGAGGGAACTCGAGAAGAAGGCCTTCCTGGCAGAAGCAGTCACACGTTGGGCAGAGGCAAGAAGGGCCCAAGAGGAGAGCGCCCGCCTCGCGGCAGAGCAGGAGCAAAAGCGCCAAGAGCTTTTGGTCCTTCAAGAGAGGATCGAGGCCCTCAACCTCCGGGCCTCGACCTTACTAGGTGCTCCCGGTTCTTCTGGCACTGCCTCTAACGACCGACGATCCTCTCTCGGCTCGGCCTCACAGAGGATCGCCCGTCCCTCTGGCACTGCCCCGAATACAACTGGATCAGCTGCTCAGAGCAATGGCCCATGGACCAAGGAGCAGCGCCTTGAAGCGGCGAGGGCGGCCCAAGAAGACCGCCGGACGTTCTGCGCGGCCAATGGAAACCTGGTCCCGCAGTACTTCGCCATGCTGAACCGTTTCAAGGAACAGCCTTGCGGCAAGTTTGAAGGCCCTACCCCCACCAAATACGGAGTACGCTTCTGCTCCGGGTGCAATCTGACATCGGTGTCGAGGTCAGACAACTGCCCGAATTTCTTTCAACATTGGAAATTCGAGCAGGGCCTAGAGCCGAAGTATGATTACTCCGCCGAGCTAGGGCCTCGAGGCGCTCCCCGCTAAGGCCATTTCACCGCCGCCTTCTCTCTGACATCAAGAAAGAAGAGAGAAGATTGTGTCTCCGGCGCCTAGACTCCGACACGGCCCTGCCTTAATCAAAGGAAGAAGAGGATTGCGCCTTCTGTGCCCGTTTTTGTTCAAGGCCGTGCCTACTTAGTTTTCTTTTGTATTTAGCGCTCTTATGTTTTCTCCGCGCCGTTGCGCGTATCAACTGTATCTTAGTCCAAAGTCCTTGTAAAAAGAGAGAGAAAAAGCAACACATTTAAGCACAAAATTATTTTCTTTTTTCTTTCCTATATCTTTCCGCATAGACCTTACAGAATAAAATGCTATTTTGCTTCATAACTGGAGTTTCCCCTTTCTTCTCCTTCCTCAACAGAGAGACTATTTTTCGAGTTGGTACCGCTCCTGTTACCAACGTCTGGGGGAGGGGCATATAACGAATTCAATTCATTCGTTATGTCTCTCTCTTCCCACACATGCATGTACACAATTTATATACTTATACTATATTTGAATTATATTGTACAGCGGCCTGCAGCAGCCGACAACGTCGAAGTGTAAGGTAAGAGAGAGAGAGAGCCCGGCATGTCTACTAACGAGCCTACAAGCAGGGAGAGTCGTGTCCGCGTGTATGCGTGTATGCGTGTGGTCGCGCTGCCGAAAAGCGCGATGAAAGAGTGGGGACGCCTCCCGCGGCAATTGACTGGCAAACGTAACACGGGCGACACGTGTCTGGACGCGCATTGAAGCAGAGGCTTTTCCTTTTTTTTCTGCTTGGGCAGCTGCCGCGGTTTAGCGTTCCTCGACTTCGTTCTCTTTACTGGAGTGCTTGGACTTTCGACCTGGCTTTGCCTGAGATTGTTTGCGAGTGCGTACAGTGGTGTGGCGATTTGACAGAGTGGTGTGCGCGTGCTGGAGCTTAGTGCTAGGCAGTCCCTCGCTTCTTCACCGCTGCATCCGGCGTCCGGGAACGCCGTTCGGCGAGCGAATACTCATTGTACAGAGGACCTGGCCATTGCCATCGCATTGTAAGTACCGACTCGTCTAGCTCTCTCTTGCAGGCTTGCCGCTCCTCTCTCTCCTTGCCGACTTACTGCTCTGTATGCTTTCCCTTGGATGCTTTATATAAATTATTTTTACCCTTTTTATCCTCTGTGCTTCTCTGACTTTGCACCCGACTCTCACTCCCTATCCTTAGCGAATTCTCTGCGCTCGTCGCTACTTTTCGCGCTTTTCAGCCACTGCTACCTGCGACGCTCTACGCGGGCCACGAGGCTGCTTGACATTGTGGCTAGTTGAAGGGCTTGGCCACACGTGCACCAGCGTACTAGCCTCGTGGCATTCGTAACTGGTAAAGCCGAGCTGTCAATCATTTTATCCTCTCGATTATAACGACGAGTTAGCTAAAACACCGTTATACATCAACTCCCTGTCATTCTAGATTTAATATATCTATATATCATTATAGATTGGATCTAGCTTTTTATAATTTATTATATTGATTTACTGTTTTTAAGTAAATAAAGTATAGAACTTTTTTTTGTAAATTAAAAATTTTTCTTATAAAGTTCTATGCATTGTTTTATATAAATAATAACAGGAAATTTGAAATAGAAAAATTTTTTGAATAAATAAGGTATGATTAGTAAACAAAGATTGAATTACACATTACAAAAATATGAAGTGACATGCCACTCAATACTACGTTTTTTTGAACGTTAGAATAAAAGAAAATCAATTTTGAATGGCTTATTTTCTTCGTTTAGATGAGTACTCCAAGTTGTGTTGAGGAATTTTTTTGAAATAGTAAATTTTATTATTTTTATGAAAAATGTTACAAATATCTTTTAAAATGATTTTTGAATAAATTTGAAAAAGTTATCATGAAAATGGTAAAATTGACTATTTAAAAAAATCCATCATTTAATTCAGAGTATTAATCTGATGAAAGAAAAGAAGTCATTTAAAAATTATTTTCATTTACTTTATCATTCAGAAAAGCATGGATAAATAAATTTTTTCAAAAAATAAGGTGTTACGGTTAAGCGAACTTTTTAGGGCCTTTTCGTAAGATTTTGGGACTCAAAACGAAAGACATACAGACATTTATTGATTACTCTACGATGAAGTACTCACGATAATGTTTCTTACACTACGGTAAATAAAACTTATGACTTTCACTATTTGACACCATCTGGTCCTATCAAGATGATTCAAATTTCATGTCGATATTTACGCTTAAAGTTTTGATACTGCAATAAACATAGCGTTAAATTTTTAGTAGTATGTTAGCTGGTTTTCTATATTATGACTTAATCTATATTTCGCTATAGAATGTTAAGCATACTTTAAGAAGGGCCTTACAACAGTAAGTATGCATGAAACTTAAATGACTACCAAAGACAATTTTACCATTTTAAATGTTTGAATGCTACTACCTCTACTGAGAGTAACATTTCTATACGAGTATAACCGTACGACTGTATAAATAGCCCATCTATGATAGAATCTATATTATCCTTGGTATAGATTATTTAGGAATATTTCACTTCATAGAAGAGAGTCTTTCTAGAAGTAATATTTACACACAAGTATTGAGTGGCATGTCACTTCATATTTTGCAATGTAGATATAAAAAAAATTTAATGATAACGGCAGCTTGAGAAAAGGATACGAATTACAAGAATTTTTGGAAACTTTTGTATACTAAAACGCTTCGTACTCTTCCTTCTCATTTGGCATTTGGAACACGTAGGTTTTTCATCTCCATCAAGAACTTCCTCCTTAGTAAAATGTTCGAAACATTGACTGAGTTTGATGCTATCTGAGCGAGTGGGTATTGGTAGACTGAGATCCCAGAAGGGATCTAGTGTGACAGATACATGATCACAGACAATGCAACGCAATGAAGATCGTAGTTGACCAACAAATAAATCCACTATTGTGCTATTTTCACTATACAAATATCGCTTCCAACTCTCAACGACCTTCATGTTATCCCTGTAAATTTTTGCAAAGATTGTCATGATTGTCTAGTAAATAATATGTAAAATTTATCAATTTAATTATCGGTGTACATACGAATAGTTATCAGGTATGTCATTCAAAATTGGTTGAGGTTTGATGGTTACACGATTCACATCTTCGTGAAGACCTTCAAGTAGATAGCGTAAAAACTCCTGAGCATCCTGTTGTCTGTAGCCTATAAATCGAGGAGCGAACCGCTGTATTTGAGATTTTAACGTCAATGTATTTACAACATGCTTGTTTTCTTTCTTCCAAAGTTCTTCTATCACCTCACTAAAGGCTTTTATTAAAGCTCCTTTCATACTTGACGTCGTGGTGTTTATGTCACTCAAATATTGGTTATCTAGCAAGTACTCCAACAGTGGTCGAGTATTACTCAAGCATTGAATAACGCTATTCATGAAACACTGTAAAATATCCACATTCATATATGAGATTTAATACTGCATACAAATATTTGATTATTTTTTCTATTAACAAGAAAACTCCCCAATATAATCTTACCGATTTTAATTTTAATTTTTTGATGTTATGGTTCATGAAAAAATAAGACTTACGGTTTTTCTGTCGTCAGAAAAACACTTCAAGGAGGTGAAACCCGTTCAAAGTTCACCCCCAAAAATACGTTTTCCAATGTACTCGTATCTCAGCTTCTAATTGACATTCTACAATGGAACAAATTTCATATAACTTATTATGTAAATACGAAACTAGCGCATCCAATTTCGACCATAAGAGGCGCAACCCTTATTTTTTTATTAAAAATTCTACCTTCTTCATGCCTTAAAGTGTTTTTTCGTCGATAAAAATAAACACGTATGTCTTATTTTTTCATGAACTGTAGCATATCAAAAGATTATGAAAATCGGCGAGGTCGGGAAGGGGGGGGGGTTCTTGTAAGAAATATAGAAATCATTTAAATAAAAATAGTTTGTGCAAAGGGTTACGTAGAATAAATAAATCATCAATGGCTTGACCAAAATTGACGTTTTTTTATGATTAAATATAGAAACAGAACATACGTTGTTTCATATATTTAATTCGTTATCAGATATTATAGATTAAATTCTGACTATTTATTTTTTGCAACATTTTTTAATGTATTTTAAGATACCTTGATTTTATAATAATTTTTTCTCAATTTTTTGTATTTTATAAAATATTTGGTTCTTAATTTTGTTCAAAAGAGAACCGTAACTCTTTTCAGATATAGCTGATAATTTCGACTTAACCATTGAAACATTTTTAGTTTGTTTTGGGATAATAGAACAAATGTTCTCTTCCTTGAATCATTTCGAGCTATAATTTTATTGATAATAACAATGCCGACGTTTTGATGAGGTGGATGATAACCTTTATCCTACCCATCAAAAGGCTATAAAAATTGAACATAAAAATCCTATATTTCTAAACGTTTTCAGTATTATACTTACATCGTATTTTTCATTAATGTATAAGTTATCTCGCGTAGTAGAAGTTCTTCTATCTTACAAGCATACGTCACCAATTGAAAATACTTTCCATTTATGACAATTAATATTTCACGATTGCCAAGTATTATATAACGTTGTAAAAAAAAATAAAAATCTTTCCCCTAACTTGTAGACTTTCGCAGTCAAAACAGACAATGAAAAGTTCTAGCAAAACACAGGCTATTTATAAGCGAAGAATATGAAAAGGGAAAGACAACGGAAAGATAAAGTGAAAAAGGCGAAATACGCATAAAATACAAGTTATAGTGATGTGTTGGTTCAGTATTACGGTTTTGCACTATAAATATAACATTTACAGAAATCTTATATCTATATTTGTATTTAATGGTATTAGTCTGTCGAATTATTTGTGATTGCTGTGTGATACTGATGATTAAAAATTTAACGCGTTATGGCGAATGGTCATTCTCACGAGCCATGCAAGAGCCCGTGCCCAAGCGTCGTATCACAAATTATTTTTAAAGAGGAAGGAAAAGGAGGCTCTTTCGCTTCTCTGAACGATGACGATGGGCCTCGTCACTAAATTGGCGTTTAGGGCTTTGGTCTGAGAGGAAAGGAATGACAGGCGCACACAATAATCACTCACGATAACCGTTAACAATATTTATTCTCGACGTTTAACAATAAAGAGCGACGACGCGAGTTTACGCGTCATCCTCGACGCCGCGTGCCTGCGCTCGTGCGGACAATTGCACGGGGGCACGGTACAATCAATTTGAGAGGTTACAAAGGATGGACTCGTTATAATCGTGGAATTCGCCGTGCTCGCAGAAGATCGCGATCACTTCGCCGACGCGTCGCGCACTCGCGAATATAGAGAGAAAGAGATAGAGAGAGAGAGAGAGAGAGAGAGAGAGAGAGACGACCTGACCTGGTGAAGGCTGCTGGTGGGAATCGCTGTTGATGCTGCTGGCAGGAACTGTTTCAGGAAGTGCAGGCTGAAAATACTGTGGGACTGCCAGCAGGCTCGTGGTAGGCTCGGATGTGGATCCTACGATGCTAGAGTCGTTGGAAGTCCTCTTGCCGTGCTACAATCTGCTCATTGTTCTCTGCTTCTTTGTCTGATTTACTCTCTTTCACGTGTGCACGCTCGGCCGTCAAACGATCCGTCTAATTCTGAATCTCGGCTCGAACTCTCCCCCCTAATCGTTTGCACGTCGGCTCGAGCAACGCCGGCAGCTTCGCTTTCGTGAGCGGATCGCCGCGGGTCACTCGCGCTCGCTTATTCTCTACTCACAACGCGTCATTCTCTCTCTCTTCTTCTTGGTGCAGCTGCTCTCGCTCACAATCGGTTCGTAATTTTCAAACACTCGCCAGGGCAACAGCGAAGGAGCGAGGCTGCGAGAGAGAGAGAGAGAAAGCGAGTCAGACAGGGCCGGCTATTCTAGCCAGGGCCCCATCACAACCCCCCCCCCCCCCCCCCAAGACATCGATCTCTCCCTACGATCGACTGACGATCATCTCGCTCCTCTCCGCGAGTGCCCAAAGCAAACGTTCGCTCATAAAAAAAGGACAAGATAATAAGAGCGAAAGGGTTCTACACCTCATATCCACGCGTCGAAGTTACGCAGACTTCGGTCTCCATTCAACCCTTACATGCATATAACACGAAAATAATCAAAACAATAAAATAAATAAAAGTCTAGCAAATTTACTCTACCCACAAATGTCAAACTACACCTGATCCTGGAAGGACCCTGCTTCCACCAGAGCTCGGGGCTTACTCGGCGGAGGGCGGATCGACCACCATCTCCTGTGATTCTAACACGGCAGGAGTACGGCGGCGAGCCACCTCCTCATACCTGCGGTTAGAGCTAGAGGTTATCGTTCCTCATCCGCTCCACAAGAGGGTCGCCTTCAGCCTCTTCTTCATGCCGAGCAGCTGACGCTCGAGCAGCTTCTATCCGAGCCCCCTTTTTTTACCTCCCCGACGTACCTTCTTTCGCCTTTCAGGTACCGCGTCGGTTCCGGTCATCCCTTGAGTCAAGGTCGCCGGTTCCGCGTTCGTCAGGGATTCTAAAATCGCTCGAGGTTGGAGAGCGCTGGGTAAACCAGGCATATGTACTGGCGGAATGCCTGATCTACGAGCCGCCTGTACTCGAGTCATAATATGCGCTCGGAATGCAATTGCACATTGCTCGCAATTGTTCGATGAACTTGACAGAGGGCTATTAGAATTACTTCGCTCGCGCACTTCTGACCTAGTTAGGACGGCTGTGGAATCCGATCGACCGTCTGTCACCTTCGCTCTTCCGGCCGAGCTAGGTTGCGATGGACCGCACTCCTGCTCCAAGTCGGGCGTTGGTGAAGCGTCCGCCATCATTCTCTCCCTTGCTGCCGTTCTTCTTTCTTCCGCTGTCTCTCCCTCATTCAGCGGAGCAAACAGATTTTCCAACGAAAAATCCGGACCTCGGCGAAGTCGTTTCCTTCGGCCTGTACCTCTCTGAGCTTCTGCTGCTCGTTGGCGTTCATCTTCTAGGTACCCCGATGGTGGAACATTTGACACCGCAGGCGGCCGGCGGAAAGAGAATCGCGGGTCCAAAGCTTGGAGATGGAGGGGCTTCCACTCCAGCAGACCAGGAACATCTTCCGCAGGCTTTACGGGAACCAAAATCTTCGCCGCTTCTACAGGCCTCTGCGTATTCTCCTCTTCTTCCTCAATAACTTCAAGGAGGCCATTTGTAAATCCTTGCAGCGGGATCTTCGCCGTCCTTCGGCCAGTTGCCTCTTTCACAGGAACATCTTCAATACCTTCCTTCGAAGGGACAGCCTCAGCGGAGGGAGCTACCGAACTTCGCAATAGAAGTTCTTTTCCTCTATTGCTACGCTGTCCGCTTCCATAGCTATCACTTTTTCTGTTTTTGGGACTCTACCGGGGGACAAGAGCTCCGGCTCAACGTGGGCAACGCGGAGCATAGTAAGCTCGTCCACCACAGCGGTTATTTCAGGCGAAATTGGGTTTCAGGATCTTCATTCTCCCCTCCAGGTGCTCTCCTCGAGAAGCGCCTTCTACGGCACTTCTCTCGCCGGATGTCTCACTAGGATTATCCCCCAGGGTCGGCGGGAGCGAATCCGCTGGCTCAGCTCCGCTCACCTCCCCTCCGAGCTCGAGCGTGTCCGCCTGACTGCCCGAAGCCAAACCGATAGGATTTACGTCCTCGGTCGAGACCTCGGGCGTCGGGGACACCGACTCTCTCGTTCGCTGTTACATCTGTAAAGGCAAAATCAACACCATTACTAACAATTACACAACATATGCAATAGAGAAAGAGAAGAGACCAATAATACAACATACATTAATACACAACGCGACTCTACATCTCATTTTAAACGAATCGATAATCACTGGATCCGGCCCACGACTCGCGGCGGAACGTATCTTTTTAGATCTTTTACGTGCGCCATCGGGACCTGTCGCTTGTCCTTTACTTTCAATTCATACACGTCGTCCGAAATCTTTTTGAATATCTTATACGGACCTCCAAACTCTGGCTCTAGGCTGGCGTTTCGGCCCACCGCTGCACTCGACAACGGATGAAGCTTGCACCAAACCACATCACCTTCACCGCTGCAAGCGATCTTGCCAAATTTCGGGACTCAACCTGATCACGGGTACTTTTCTCTCTACCTCACGCCTTAGGCTTTTCGCGGGCCGCGAATTACGTCCGAAGTTTAGAAATGCCGGGGAAACCTTCATAGAGGACTGAGTCGCGGTATTTATCGCGTGCCTAAACACATGAAGGTATCTATCCCAATCTCTGTGATCGTTATCGACAAAAATAGCGATCATAGTCTTCAGGACTCGGTTCACTCGCTCTACCGGATCACTCTGCTGGTGATAGGGAGGACAGAACACGTGCTCTACGCCATACTTGCTTAAGGTATCCTGAAAAACTTTACTCTGGTACGCTTTC